AACAACAGATTTCTGAAATATACACACACCTGACAACAACACACACACAAACAAACACATGCATTCTGACAACAACAAACACACATGCCCAACAACAACACAAACGCATGTACACATACACACAATTGACACCACATATACACACACAACCACATTTCACAACACACACACACAGTACACACATCTGACAACACCACAAGCACATGCATTTGACAGCAACACACACACACACACACACACATATACTGTACACACATCTGACAACAAACACACGCATTTGACAACACACAAATCTCCGACAACACAAATGCATGCACACACACATTTCACACCACATATACACACATTTCACAACGCACAAACACATCTGACAACACCACACATTTGACAGCAATACAAACAGACGTCCCACTTCAAAACACACACACACACACACACACACACACACACACACACACACACACAACAGGTTATACAACAGACACAAACACATCCTTCACAACAACACATTCATACTCGCGCACACACACTGAGGCCCACACACACACACATCTCTCTCTCTCTCTCTCTCTCTCTCTCTCTCTCTCTCCGGACGTGGTGGAGCTCCTCCAATTAGACACAGTGAATTATCTAATGGCGGGAGCGTCTCTCTCTCTCTGCGCGTCGCCTTTTCATTAGGGTCAATTTGCATATAAAAAAGAGAGATGGCTGATCATTCTAATTTCCAATTAGACTGGAGTGTTAATAATGCACCGGTGAGCAGGCGTGGAGCGGTTAATGTGCCTCTGCCCGGTGTCGGTCCTCACTTCACTTTTATTGCCTCTTCAGCCACAGACGGACGACCGCAATCAGCAAAACTCTCCACATTCACTGAGCGAGCCTTCAGCAGAGATTCTGCTCAGATAACAGAGCAATAGCATATGCATCTTCATCATAGACAAATATTATTATTATTATGACTATTATTATTAGTATTAATATTACCACTATTATTATTATTATTATTTTTTAAATTATTTTTATTAATGGGCGACGCGGTGGCGCAGTAGGCCAGAAGGTAGAGACAGCAAGAAGGTCACTGGTTCGAGCCTCGGCTGGGTCAGTTGGCATTTCTGTGTGGAGTTTGTATGTTCTCCCCGTGTTGGCGTGGGTTTCCTGCGGGTGCTCCGGTTTCCCCCACAGTCCAAAGACATGTGGTACAGGTGAATTGGGTAGGCTAAATTGTCTGTAGTGTATGTGTGTGAGTGAGTGTGTATAAATGAGTGTGTCTCAGTGATGGGTTGCGGCTGGAAGGGCATCCGCTGTGTAAAACAGATGCTGGATAAGTTGGCAGTTCATTCCCATGTGGCAACCCCAGATTAATAAAGGGACTAAGCTGAAAAGAAAATGAATGAATTAATTATTACTACCATTATTTTTATATTACCAATATTTTTATTATTATTATTATTATTATTATTATTATTATTATTATTATTATTATTATTATTATTATTATCATTATTAATATCAATATTATTAATATTATTATTAATATTATTAAAATGATTATTATTAATAAAAGTATTTTTATCATTATCATAAATTATTATTATTATTATTATTATTATTATTATTATTATTATTATTATAAAATGATTATTATTAATAGAAGTATTTTTATCATTATCATAAATTATTAATATTATTATTATTACCATCACTATTATTATTATTGTAACCATTTATTATTATTTTTATTAATATTATTATTATCATTATTATTATCATCATCACAATAATTATTATTACTATTATTTTTATAACTATTATTAATATTACTATCATAATTACAAATATTATTATTATTATTACATTCATAAATTTTACTATTATTTGTATTATTATTTTAATTATTATAACAATTATCATTATTATTACCATTATTATTATTATTATTATCATTTTTATTATTATTATATTAATTATTTTACTTTGATGATGATTACTATTAATAATAATAATAATAATAATAATAATAATAATAATAGTATAGTGTTAATAACAATAATAATACTGTTAATAATATTGATAATAATAATAAAGTAATGTGCAGTGTCTAGTGTTGCATTATCTAGTATGCTGTGTGCCATGTCTAGTATGTAATTTGTGTAGTGTGTATTATCTAACATGCGGTTTATAGTGTCTAGTAAGCAGTGTGTATAGTGTCCATTGTGCATTATCTGGTAAGCAGTGTGTGTCGTTTCCAGTGTGCATTATTTAGTATGCAGTGTGTGCAGTTTCCAGTGTGCATTATCTAGTATGCAGTGTGTAATGTGTACACTGCTTTAATGTACTACATTATGGCAATGATAGTGCACTAGTGTAGCTGATAAACTCAGAAAAAAGCAACTACAGCACTCTGCAATAGAGACGATATCTTATAGACAATCTTGAGGAATGTAAACAATAACAATGGTCCTAGTGTATTCACTGTTTTACATTTTTCATTTCTATAGCTTCCGAGAATCCAAAACGAAGCAAATATTGATAAATAACGTTAAAACGTCGAGTTATGATTGAATCGCCTCTTGTTTCAGGTGTGAAATAGTTTGAAACAAACAGGAGATGTTCATGGGCCAACGTCATCACCACATTGAGATGATCTATTCTGCATTACACCTTATAGACAGCAATAACCATCAGATTTGATGAAATAATAATAAGCATTATTAATAATAAACATCAGTACAGAATCAAGAGCTCTCTAACATGTTTATTTGTTCATCAGCTTCCAATAAACACACAGTCCATGCTCAGATTTCTGTAAAATTTGCTTAAAAAAAGTGGAATCTGAATCTGCTAATAAGCATCTCTGAAAACACAGGGCCAGAATTTGACCTTGCCAAAACATTGAGCGCTGCCGCCGCCGCCGCCGCCGCTGTTGTTGTGAAGCACACAATAAATGTGGAAACTTCTAAACGGAAATAATTGGAGGAGTGGAGGAAGGTCAGCGAATCCTGGACTTTTGTTTCTCAGTAAACGCGTGTCGCCGGGGAGAACAGAAACTGCCTCCTGTAATTGCTGGCGCTCTGCTAATTGGGAGCAATTAAAAGGACAACATGCAGCACGCGACGGCAAACGCTGGAAAGCTTATTTAATGCAACGAGAAGCTTAAACCGCAGTAAAGTTGCGCAGGTGCCGGTCGCAGCGCACGCCATTCATCAAAGTCAATGATGGCGCTGTTTTAATGGCAAGTGCATCAGACTGAGAACAGGAGCAGCGTTTAGGCCCTCGCAATAAATAACAATACAAAAAAATGAGTTGCTTTTCACTGCAAAGGGCAGAAAGTGACAGCGTTTACATTATTCTCGGCCCACTGCCTGCTAATTACCAACTTCACTTTCACTGAACGCCTGTTTTTCTCCTTCCAAGATGATCACAGGTCAGTGAAAAACACAGAGTTATTTATTTATATGAGGAGTTTCAGACACTACAGGTGAACGAGGTGGAGATGATAATGCTCTGATCCAATCAGATTACAGAAGTGACAAGTTTGGTGCGTGCTCAGAAAGAAAGTGAAGAGTTTAGTTTAATCAGAACATACACTCACTGACTGGCCACTTTATTAGGTACACCTCACTAGTACCAGGATGGACTTCATTTGTCTTCAGAACTGCTTTAATCCCTGGTGTCACAGATTCAGCAAGCTACTAGAAATATTCCTCAGAGATTTTGCTCCATGTTGTCATGATAGCATCACACAGTTGCTGCAGATTTGTCGGCTGCACATCAATGATGCCAATCTCCCGTTCCACCACATCCCAAAGCTGCTCTATTGGATTGAGCTCTGGTGGCTGTGGAGGCCATTTGAGTACAGTGAACTCATCGTCATGTTCAGGAAACCAGTCTGAGATGACTGAGCTTTATGACATGCTGCGTTATCCTGCTGGAAGTAGCCATCAGAAGATGGAGACACTGTGCTCATAAAGGGATGGACATGGTCAGCAGCAATACTCAGGTAGACTGTGGCGTTGATGCTCAATTGGTACTAATGGACCCAAAGAAAATCTCCCCCACACCATTACACCACCACCACCAGCCTGAACCGCTGATACAAGGCAGGATGATCCATGCTTTCATGCTGTTGAGGCCAAATTGTGAGCCGAGCATCCGAATGTGTCAGCAGAAATGGAGACTCATCAGAGCAGCAACGTTTCTCCAATCTTCTATTGTCCAGTTTTGGTGAGTCTGTGTGAATTGTAGCCTCAGTTTCCTGTTCTTAGCTGACAGGAGCGGCACCCGGTGTGCTCTTCTGCTGCTGTAGCCCATCCGCCTCAAGGTTGGACGTGTTGTGTGTTCAGAGATGCTCTTCTGCAGAGCTCGGTTGTAGCGAGTGCTTATTTGAGTTACTGTTGCCTTTCTATCAGCTGGAACCAGTCTGGCCATTCTCCTCTGACCTCTGGCCTCATCAACAAGGCATTTGCGCCCACAGAACTGCCGCTCACTGGATATTTCCTCTTTGTCGGAGCATTCTCTGTAAAGCCTAGAGATGGTTGTGCGTGAAAATCCCAGTAGATCAGCAGTTTCTGAAATACTCAGAGCAGCCCGTCTGGCAGCAACAACCATGCCACGCTCAAAGTCTCTTAAATCCCCTTTCTTCCCCATTCTGATCCTCGCTTTGAACTGCGGCAGATCCTCTTGACCATGTCTACATGCCTAAACGCAGTGAGCTGCTGCCATGTGATTGGCTGATTAGACATTTGCATTAACGAGCAGCTAGACAGGTGTACCTAATAAAGTGGCCGGTGAGTGTATGAACTTTTTATTTTATATTGCGATGCAGTTCATGGAGAAACAGAATATTAAAGGAGAAAACAGCAGGCATGGTTTGTTTGTTTGTTTGTTTGTTTATTGCAAATTCATATTCTGGCAGCAGTTTTTCATCATTAATTGCGTTTGTGAAACTCTCAAGGTGGAGTTTTCCCAACATTAGACTACACTTAGGGAAATGACATCAACGGCTCTTTATCCAACACTTAACAGTTTACTTAAAGGGGAAAAGTCATTTAAGAGAAATTCCGATTGTTTTATTCAGTTTCACTATTAGAAACCATTGAGTAATATTTAAGGGTTATTTTAGGCAGCACCTTTATAATTGAGGGAAACAACGGCGATCTAAAAAAGTCCCATGAAGTTAAAATAAAGCTCTTTAGATGTGTCAGTATTGTTAGTTTTAGGATACCTATAAGCGAGTGCACACCATTAAACTGATATAAACAAGTTTGCCACTTCTGCCTAAATGGATCAGCAGTTTTATTCACATCCTCCTCGTACTTCAGTTTCTCATCAAGTCTCCTGACCAATCAAATGCTCTCTAGTGACCGCCATGAACACGTAATCTGACATAACACATAAGTGTGTAGTGTATAAGTGCATAGTGGGTCATTTGAGACGCAGTGTGTGTGTTTCCTCACCCCGTTGGCGGTGCTGACGGCCTGATAGTAGACGCTGTAGCTCTTGTGTGGCAGCAGCGGAAGGTTCCAGTATCCCTCATACGTGCGGTTGTCTCCTACAGTGAACGGCAGCGGCGCCTGGATGCGTGCGGCTGGAAACTCGGCACTGAAGTAATACGGAGAGTTGAAGGCGGACACATTCTGGAAGTGGACTGGAATCGGGTAACAGCGCAGGATCTCAGCGGCTCTCTGTGAGCGGCGCGGACGCTCCTCCTCAACCACCACCTGATAAACACTACACACACAATAACACAGTTAATATACAGAATTAATCTATAGTGCATATACAGTTGCAGTCAGAATTATTCACCCTCCTGTGGATTTTTTCAAATATTCCCTAATCTGATGTTGAACAGATTCAGGAGTTGTTCACAGTGTTTCCTCTAATGTTTGTTCTTCTGGAGAAAGTCTTATTTGTTTTATTTCAGCTAGAATAAAAGCAGTTTTTAATTGTTTTAAACCCATTTTAAGGTCAATATTATTGGCCCTTTCAGCAATATTAGTGTTGGATAGTCTCCAGAACAAACCACTGTTATACAATGACTTGCCTAATTACCCTAACTTTACCCCAATTACCCTAGTGAAGCCTTTACATGTCACTTTAAGCTGAACACTAGTGTCTTGAAGAATATCTAGTCTAATATTATGTGCTGTCATCATGACAAAGAGAAAATACATCAGTTATAAGAGATGAGTTATTAATTTTATTATGTTTTGAAATAATCTTCCTTCCATTGTGTAAGTTATTCTTGTAATATAAAGGCTTAAGAACCTTAATGGAGCTAAAAACATTGATCTTAGCCATCTTTGAACTATTTGTAAATAAAATATAATAGGAAAATATTGTAAAAAATGTGCTTGATAAACTGGAAAATATGTGAAAAAGGAGGACTAATATATTTGTTTTCAGCTGTGTGTGTAAACAGTATACGTAAAGGACAAATTATATAGTGTACAAAGAAAGAGATGAAGGATTCTCCAAATACATTGCATAAACAGTGCTCAGCATATACAGCGTACACTCCCGCACACATCTCTCTTTTAAATTGATGTTTAATAGGAAGCTCTACAATATTATATTTGTGCATATACATTAGATTACTCAGTACTGAAGCCAAATCTAGAGCTGATCTAACATAATAACTTACAATAAAAATAGTACAGCCAAATTTATATGATACAGAAATATTAAATACAAGTTTAAAAAACCAAGAAAAACAGAAATATATACAATTTTGTTTGAATTTAATTGTGTTTACTTTCTATTTCTAAATATGTTTAGTGACTAAAATATTATTTTAATAAATATATCTGTTTAATAAGTATCTTCTGTTCAAATGCACAAAAATATGACCTATATTCACTGATATAAAATATTTATTTGCTAAATGTTA